TCACATGAGTGGCTGCCTTCAAGACTTGATAAGCTTTATCTATCATCGGTGAGGCGGTGACTTCAACACCCAGGACAAAAACAAAACTACATTACCAGTTACTACTGCTTATAAGTGGATATCTTTAATTCTAACTGGCACTTACTAGTTTTATTCCTCAGCGTTGTCGTACGTAAAGTCATACATCTCTATACATTGACTATCGGAAAAAAATATCTTAATTCACTATTAGTCTTAGTTTTACATAATCTGGTGGACTGCTGTTGACTATCTTACTGCCAAGTTGGTAAAAATGAACCCAAGTGCAACTAGTATATGCAGGGACATTTGTTAAAAATATTTCAGTATATTTGAATTATATTTTATTACTGCGATAATAAATAGGCATTTTTAAAACTTACGTTACGTTGTTGTAACACGTTAACGACGTAGACAACTTCCGGACAGCACTAACAGCAGGCTTGACAACCAGACGTAATCCCGACACTCCGCGCAGGTGCCACAGTAATTGACTCATTCTTGCCTTAACTGCAGTATGAGGCTAAATATATGTTAAATATCGTAGTTATAGGAGACAGGTGATATTTGTTGAGTAAGCGGGTGAGAGAGAGTGTGTGGGGTAGCTGCCACACCACCACACTAGCAGCACTGAAGGCCAGGCCTTGCCTACACATGCGAGGTACGACGCATAGCAACACTCCCAATAATAACTTCTCTTTTAATAATAATAGTAATTGAGGTACTTCGTTCTCTGCGCTATTCGAAAAATGTATCCCCGTGTTACATAAGCTTCAGCCGGTACGTTGGTCCGGGACCCAGCTATGAATCTCTGTTAGTCTGAGAATACTGTTGGCAAATCCAGCTACAGTAGCGTCAGCAGAAAGATCTTTTAGCTAACTCAAACATACCAAAAACTTGTTAAAGTCAAGTATGTGTCAAACCCGACTTGTTGATTTACCAAGACTGAGTATAACCAGAGAAATTTATTTTGATAGCGTTATTAGAAACTCTGAAGACAAAAAAAAAAAAAAGCCAGAAAAGTTCATTTCAAAAAGTAGTCTTAATAAATATTAAACTTTTCAGAGTTTATTTTACTTTGAACGAACTTAAGAAAAATAAGCACTTGTATAAACATAGGTCAACAAAAATTTTTCAAAACCTATTAAGTATGTTATCTCTGGTCATTCTGCTGCGCAGGAAATTATGCATTTATGAGAGCTTTCCAATGGTTTTATTGGACTTCAAATTCTCAATTTTGAGAGAAGCCTCAGCCTGCCCCCAGGGACCCCAAAACAGTCTTGTTCCGCCTTTCAAAATTTCTCTAGGACGCCCCGCCCCTATACCTCAACGAAAGCGGCAAAATTAGTACAGACCGCGGCATAAGTTTTTAGTGAAATTAAATATTAGAACTGAAACTCATTCGAGTCAGAAAACGCGTTTACACGTTATCACATGGAAACTGATATCAACATTTTCCTCAATAAAAATGGTAACTTAGACTATCAAAACAACAGTTTTGATAGTCTAGGGCCAGATTAAAGAGGCATTTTCTATGTATCTCAGAGACGACCAGCAACAAAATACACCAACGCTTTAAGTTTAAAGCTGTTCCGAAGTTGCATTATCACGCTATCCACGTTGGAGAAGTGAAGTCAATCAGGTGAGGGGCTTTCAAATTATTGCATGAAAAAACAGTATTTCATTTTCCTGATTTCTTCACCAAAAACCCGTGACCTGCACAGCCAAAATCAATACAAACTTTTTTCTCTCTTAATTTAACCTAGAATAATCCAAGGGTCGCTAGAAATGTGATGTCTGCACACTTCTGGCAAGACACCTATTGAATGAGTGATGGTGACTGTGTTTTCTCATTTTAGGGTCACCATACCTCTGTGGGAAACGACTTTTGTGTTAGAAACAATATTAACATTAAAAAAAAAGTACAAAAGTGTTACAATTTTTTTTGAAAAGCCCATAGCATAATAAAGGACCCTAGAATTTGGAAGACCCTTCCAGAAGATTAAAAAAGTTCGACTTTGAGCACCTGCTTCAAAAATGTATTGTAACAAATACCTAAATATGATTTAAACCCTTCTTGATCCAAATTACATCAGCATTCATGCTGATATTTTCACTATCGCAAATTTCAACATATGTAATAACCAAAATTACACAGATAACCTGCACATAGGAGGGATTTACCATTTACAAAGTGACTTTGTAAGTGGTCCAAGTCGGACCCAAACGTCGTCGTAAGCTCCTCTTTCCTATGTGAGGGTTATATGTGTATTGTTTCAGTCACGGAATTGTGCCTTTTTGCTCATTAATAACCAAAAAATACGTCCTGCTTCAGGTTGCACAGCTACAAATGTTAAACCAAATTGTCACATAAAAAACTCAAAATGTCATAAATCATAAACCAAACTGTTATATAAAAAGTCCAAGATTGCTAACCATTACATTCTAGTTCAGTAGATATAAGTCAATAAGGCTGACCAAAGTTCTTTACATAAGAGGGAGCTTTTTATATAGGAATTTATACACGCTAATTAATTCTGTGTGCTTTATGAAGTTGTCATTGTCACTGACTGTCACTGTCATTAATAATGATAATGACAATGACACTCTTACAATGACCAGCTTTCTGAACGGAACGTATTTTATACCATACCCCCGGCCGGGATTGAACCCGCGGTCATAGAGTCTCAAAACTCCAGCCCGTCGCGCTAGCCACTAGACCAGCCAGCCACAATAAGATTCATCCAACTAGGTATATTTCTACACCATAGAGTTTTGAGACTCTATGACCGCGGGTTCAATCCCGGCCGGGGGTATGGTTTATTTGCAATCGTGTCATTACGATTTCTTAAGTCGTGGTATTTTATACCGATCTGTTTGTGTTCAACTTTTCTGAGAGTGTAGAATGTTCATGACTTTCCCAGTGTTATATCTGCGAGTTGTTCGTTTAGTTTCTCCCAGTCAGTTCTCTTATTGTTAAAGTTTAATTTACTGTACATCATTTCTCATTCTATTGCTGAAATTTTCCACCCGTGAATTTACGCTTTGTTATTCCTCTGATTAATTCTTCATTGTCCGAGTAAGTGCATTTTTATTTCTAGAGAGTTTTGTTATTTGTTAGTTAAAAGGGAAGTTTTCACAAGGGCCCACAAGCTCTCTGGTATGTGCTCAGCTAATGTGTTTCTAGCAAGTATGTCTGCTACATTTCGTTTTTCATTCCAGTTATTTAAGACTGGTTGGTGTGTGTGTGTGTGTGTGTGTGTGTGTGTGTGTGTGTGTGTGTGTGTGTGTGTGTTTCCCTATATGCAATTGCAGGGGTCGAGTAACAGCTCCTGGCCCTGCCTCTTCGCTGGTCGCTACTAGGTTCGCTCTCGTCTGGCTTTCAGAGCCTTGTCGTACCCCCTTTTTAAAGCTATGTATGGTTGTATGGATCCTGCTTCTGTCACTTCACTCTCCAGTTCGTTTCACTTCCTGACTACCCTAAGGCTGAAGAAATAGTTCCTAACATACCTATGTGTCATCTGAATTTTAAACTTCCCCATCTTCCAGTTTCCAATCTCTCAAATAACTTGTCCCTATTCATCCTGTCAATTCCTGTCAGTATTTTGCAAGTTCTTTTCATATGCCACCTGGACCTCCTGTCCTCCAGTGTCATCAGGTTGAATTCCCATAACCTCTCCTCATATGACATATCCCTGAGCTCCGGGACTAGTTACGTTGCAAACCTCAGCACTTTCTCCTATTTCCTGACATGCTTGACCAGGTATGGGTTCCATAATGGTACTGCATATGCCAATAAGAACCTGGTGTACGCGGTGTACAGTGACGTTCATGAATGACTCCTTACTTAGATGTCGAAAACCTATCCTCACATTTGCCAGACGCGCATTTGCTGCAGCAGTTACTTGGTTGATGTGCTCCTCAGGTGCTATGTTTGGTATAATACTTACTCCAAGGCCTTTCAACCTGGGTGAGGTTTGCAGCCTTTCCCCCCTTCCTCCCAAGCTGTACTCCGTCTGCGGTCTTTGCCCTTTCCCAAACTTCATAACTTTGCAATTGCTGGGATTAAACTCCAGGAGCCTTTTGTCAGAACACGAACGCAAGCATGCGTATGAGTGCTTACGCACGTGTGTGTGTGTGTGTGTGTGTGTGTGTGTGTGTGAGAGAGAGAGAGAGAGAGAGAGCCGAAACACCTGACCCAGCTGTTGGGTCAGGTGTTTCGGCGTACCCAACTTCCCTTCCTCTCTCCCTCCAACTCTCCTTTATCCCTTCCCTCCACCACTTCCTCCACCACTCCAACACTTTTTCCAATGCTCCCTTTAACATTCTCTCCAACACTCCCTCCAACACTTCTTCCACAACATCCTCCACAACTTCCTCCAACACTCCCCATTGCTACATGCAACACAAATAGTACCAATTCAGAAGATTCTGGCCTCTTTGTGGTGATAAATTTGAGCTGTTTTTCCTGTGAATGTTAATTTTCTGGTTTAAAAACTCATTTGAATTTATGACTCGTTTTAAGTCATCAGAAAGCAGTGAGAAATTACTCGTATTTTTTTTACGTATCCCCAAGTTTCCTTCAGACGTTGCTTTAAAATTACAAAATATATAAATATATGATTTGTGAAAATAATTTTAGCAGATACTGACGAGCGAAACAAAACAGTGAAAACTGGACCGAATTAAAAAATGGATGTTTGTGGTGGTGGGGAGGGAGAGGATTTATCTGTTTGATGGGGTGGTGGTGTATGAGGAGAGGTGTGTGGGTGTTGGGTGAATGGGTGTCTCCCCGGGTGGAAGAGTACGGGTGTCGTCATGACGGTGGAGGGGGAGCTGGGTTTACAGGTGGTCGGGGTGCAGGGTTTCTTTGCTACTGTGATGACTGTGGTCTGTGTTGTGGGGGTGAGAGGGGACTGGTGGAGGGGCAGAGAGGGAGGGGGAGGGTTATGGGAGTATGAGTGGTATATATGTAACGAGGATAGAGCATTACTGTCTTTCTGCTAGTCGAGCCTCCATCGAGAAGTGTCCTCTGATAGTTACACCAACTCTGACAGGAAGCGTCTGTCAGTGAAACAGTACTGAGACAAGGCAACAAATATTTACCACAGGAGGAACATACAACATGGCGCCGAAAAAGGTAGACGAATTACTTTAAAGGAAAAATAATGTTGATATATGAAATTTAAGGTGATGTTGATCTGGCATACCTGGAGTATACCTGGATAGTTTAACCTGGTATTTGGGCAACAAGGTATTATTAGGTATATCCCGAAATGGGATATTTAAAGTAAATTCCCTCTAGGGAGGTGTCTTAAAGGAGTTACTCGTTACTGTAATAAATCATTATTACGCTGCATTATGTATTAGCTAAGACTACAGACATAACCAACCTAGTTTTGTCTAGCTGCTTCCGTATTTTAATAACGTTTGACAGGGTTGACCTCCAACTCCTGGGCTTCTTGAGTGTGTTGAGCTACTGAACATCTGGAAGAGCTTGACCTTCAACTAATGGACCTCTGGGAAAGATTTATCACTGCATTGATCGAAACACATCTACTTCCACTCAATAATAACCTACATGGAGACAGAAATTCAGGAGATTATTTGGTCTCTTGAGTTTCTGTCTTCATGTGGGTTATTACTGAGCACTGACGAGTATTCATTACACTTTAGTTAATCACATCTTATTATCACAATATTCATAGGGAAGCGAAAAGCGCATTGAGCATACAACAAAAAGTCCTTCACCAACATCAATTGTCTTCAAGGCCAGCTGAACGAATCATATTATTATCATACTGTATTTACAATTAACTGATACGAGGCATCTAGAACATGATAAACTGTATACAAATGTAGTTCAGAGTGAACCCGATTAATTTTGATTCTTAATTCATGTGTTTCTAAGAAATATAACTTGAATTATGTTATATGTATATTGTAACCCAGATTTTTAATTATGGCAAAGATCGCCCAATTTTTATGATAGTTACTATTTTACTTATGATTAAGCACTTTATATAAAATAAACTTATTCATACCCAGGCTTTGCAAAAGCATTTGCTTAAATGCGTTCATGGCGTTAATAGCCCATAAAAATACGTGCTAAGGAATAACTGGGGGAAATGTGGGAGATGGATTCTTCAACTTCCTAACAAATCGAACAAAAGAGTAGTGGTCAACCGAGTTAAATCGGAGGCTGCCGTAGTGAGAGCTTCTGTTCCACAAGGCACAGTACTCGCCCCCATCTTATTCCTTATCCTCTTGTCAGACATAGACAGAGATATACACCCCCAGCACCGTATCATCCTTCTGCGGATGTACTAGGATCTGCATGAGGCTGTCATCTGTTGAGGACGCGGTTAACCTCCAAGAAAAAAAACCTGGTTATAAATGACCATAATTTTTAAAGGGAGTGGACCGTAAGCAGCGGAAGGCCTTCGGTCAGGATGACCAAAAGCTCAAAGGCGGGTCATCATCTGACTAAGACCGCGTCAGGAAACTTTGTCCTGTTTCCTGACGAACCTTACCTAACCTACCTACCTCCAAGAAGATATTAACAAAGTGTTCAGTGGGCAACGGTAAACAAAATGATGTTCAATGAGGACAAATTCCAATTACTCCGTTATGGAAAATGGAGGAGTTAATAACTACGAACAGAGTATACTACTGACTCGGCCTTACAATAGAGCGGAAAAGAAAAATAATGTAAGGGACCTGGGAAGTAGCAATGTCTGAGGTGATTCTCAATCCCTAAGGAAGGTTCCTTTGATGTTGGGTGAGGGGCTCTTGATTTAGGGGAATTGGATCTGTGCTCAGTTCCCCAAATTAAGCCTGAATGCCTTCCACATCCCCCCCGGCGTGTTATAATCCTCGGGTTTTAGCGTTTCCCCCTTGATTGTAAATAAAAATAATAATAATGAGGATTACTTTCAAGGACCCAAAACGTGCCCGATCGCCCTGAAAGAAAAGTAGGATGGAAAATGAGAACTTTCAAAAGAGAGTCCACCCAATGAGATCTTTTCAAATACTTTTTCTCTCGGCGGGAATATGCGTACATTAACTCCCCATTCAAAGCAGGTGAAATGAGAAAAGGGTGGTCGAGATCCTTTATGACGTTAAGTTCTGTAAAGCCCTTAAATCTGGGAACGTTGGGAAGCACTGATTTTTCTCTTTTGGAAAACGCGGATGGAGAGATATATCATAATTACATTTGGGGAAAATTTGAAGGAATGGTCCCAATTGCACACAAAAATCACTCCCTACGAAGTAAAGAGGGGGGCAGGCGATGCAAAATGCCCCCAAAAAAAAAGTAGGGGCGCCTTTGGGTCATAGGGAAAAACACCGTAGTGCCGGGGCCCAAAAAACTGTTCAACGCCCCCCACAAGCATTGGGGGAATTGCCAATAAACCCCTGGCTCCCCTTCAAGAGACCCCTGGACAGTCCCAAAGTCGGGCCCGGATCACCCGGGGCTGTGGCTCGTCGTTGGACTGCGTGCGGCCAGCAGTAACCCCTATTTTTGATTAGGCCTGATCCATCAGGAGGCTGGTAAGACCGGGCCGCGGGGCGTTGATCCCCGGAAAACCCTCAGGTAACCTTTTTTAAAAACCTATCCAGAAAAGGAAGAAAAACATTTTTTTTTAATGATTGTTTACGCCCCAGAACGCAAATTTAAAAACATTGGGAAGTTATTTTGTCTAGTGTGTCTGTGACATGCGCCTTGTGAGCGGAGTTGTATTATGTGCTTCTGCACCCAGTAACCCCATCCCCCACCCAACCCCCTCTCGAGCCATTTTTTAGTGCCACGAAGATGGACTTTAAATTCAAGCATGAATGGAAAATTTTTGAACACCCAATAATCAACGGTTCTCGTGTCCCGGGGTTTTTTTCAGCTTCTGCCAGGCAGCGCACCCCACTTCACGTGTCCATGTTTACAGAATACCTACTATGTCTGTTGGCTAAGATTGTTTTAAAATGGTTACGATTTGTCATAATATAAATGAGTATGTTCCATTAATAACTACCTTAAGAGTGTGTCCCATGAAGGTAACACTTTTATCAACAACAATAAATGAATGAAAGAACACTATTAAATATTTTTATGGCCATTTCAAAATCCACGGGTTTCAAATGCAACTTTACGTGAAAATGCATGCACAAGTTAACACCTGTGAGTGAGAGTTAACACCTGTGAGGGAGAGAATGCTGTAAACATCTGCTAGGAAGATTTTTTTTACATATTTTTTGAAACATTATATATATATATATTTTATATATAATATATTTTATATATATATATATATATATTATTTATATATATATATAATATTTTATATATATATATATATATATTTTAACAAGTCGGCCGTCTCCCACGAGGCAGGGTAAACCCAAAAAAGAAAGAAAATCCCCAAAAAGAAAATACTTTCATCATTCAACACTTTCACCTCACTCACACATAATCACTGTTTTTGCAGAGGTGCTCAGAACACAACAGTTTAGAAGCATATACGTATAGAGATACACAACATATCCCTCCAAACTGCTAATGTCCCGCTAATGTCCAGCCTCGGAGGAGCTGGAGGAAATTCATGATATTTGATACATTGTGCCATTGTATTCATGTTTATGTTTTTTTCTGTAAATGTATTCTGTTTATTAATAAATGTTCACATAGAATATCAAATATAGGGGGTGGTAGGAAAAGAAAATATTCAAACAGCTCCGGGGAGAACCTTGAGTTTTCCCTGAGGTACGTTTATTGTCTTTTCTGAGGATGAGGGTCCCCATTCCAGCCATAGAGGTGGTACTTCCTATATATTATATATATATTATATATATTATTATATATATATATATATATATAAAATATATTATATATATATATATATATATACATAATGTTTCAAAATATATGTAAAAAAAATCTTCCTAGCAGATGTTTGCAGCACTCTCCCTCATAGGTGTTAACTCTCACAGGTGATAACTCATTCACAGATGATAACTCACTCACAGGTGACAACTCACAGGTGATAACTCTCACTCACAGGGACTCCTGGAAAGGCTAGATGAAGGACCGGTGATAGGGGACGGAGGGTTTGTTTTCGCCCTCGAGAAGCGAGGTTACGTCAAGGCTGGACCCTGGACCCCTGAGGCCACTGTGGAGAACCCAGACGCAGGTCAGTCTGGCAGGGTCGGCAGTGAGAGAGGCAGGGGAAGCAGGGAGAGAGGTGGAGGGAATAAGTAAGTAAATTTATTCAGGTATACACAATACAGTTACATAGAATTATCATACATAGCAGCATATGTGTAGAGCAGACAAAGGACGCGGGAAGCAGGAGAAACTGGGAGAGAGGCAAAAGCAGGGAGAGAGAGAAAAGTTGAACAGGAAAAGAGAATGAAAGGGATAAGACAGTGGGAGACCGAGTGCGACAGGGAGCCTCGGGGAGTATGAGAGAGAGAGAGAGGGGGGGGGGGGAGAAGGGTCTCTAGATACATAAAGTAGGAAAGTTGAAAATGTTTGAAATAAACAAAAGCAATTGCATCCACAGTGTGCTGGCACACTTATACACCATAACAGTGTAGTCATACACTATTATACAGTGTATGGCTACACTGTTATCCACTCACAATGTGTGGCTACAATATTATACGAGTTACACTCATATAATAGATGGGTTGTATACATGAAATAATGACGTCTGTCGACCTGGGCTGGAGACTGAGGGCCTGGTGGCTAAAGCTCCCGCTTCACACACGGAGGGCCCGGGTTCGATTCCCGGCGGGTGGAAACATTTCGACACGTTTCCTTACACCTGTTCACCTAGCAGCAAATAGGTACCTGGGTGTTAGTCGACTGGTGTGGGTCGCATCCTGGGGGACAAGATTAAGGACCCCAATGGAAATAAGTTAGACAGTCCTCGATGACGCACTGACTTTCTTGGGTTATCCTGGGTGGCTACCCCTCCGGGGTTAAAAATCCGAACGAAATCTTATCTCCTATGGGTTCAGTTGCCTTCAAAATGTTCGTTCCTGCGCTCGAGTTACTGTTAATGTGAATTGCTAGAATGAGCTAGTTTAGAGAGCAAAAGGAGTGAGAAAGGGAAGGAGAAAAAGAGAGAGAGAGAGAGAGAGAAGAAAAAAAACAGATAGCAGAGGACTTGGAGACAATTTCTTAGTAGACAATTTTCTTAGTAGATAGCAGAGGACTTCCAAGTCCTCTGCTATCTACTAAGAAAATTGTCTGCTTTTATCGAGATTTAGGGAGAGAGTGAAACATAAAAAATGATAGACAGAAATTTTTATTACAAGTTTCAATAACCCAACCAAGTAACCTCTTTTCTTACTGGCTTTGACCTGACGTGGCTTGATCCGTGTGTGAACATGGCTTGCAGTGCGTCAGCTACACAGGGAGTTCCTGCGGGCAGGCGCAGATGTTATGCAAGCCTTCACTTTTTACGCCTCCGACGACAAACTAGCTAATAGAGGCAACGAGTCGAGCAAGAAGTATACGGTAAGACGACCACCTATCTGCTACCTTGTATCATTAACTACGAGACGACCCCCTCCTCTCTGCCACCTTGTATCATTAAGTATTCATCTACTCAAACGACTCCTCCTTTTTGCTGCTCTGATTTATTAACTGCTCAAACGACCCCTTCTCTCTAATACCATGTCTGATTTCCATTCAAACGATCTCTACTCTCTGCTTCCTTATCTGACACTCCCCCCCCTCCTACCTTGTCTGTTAACCCCTTCAATCAGTCCCTTCCTCATGACACCTCGTCTAAATCACCCCTCTCTCTAACCCCACGAGCACCTCCCTTCACCTTGACAGAAAAACGCCTCACTCTTCTCTCTTACACACACCCATCTTCCTACCCTCTCACCCACATTCCCCAGCACTCAGTCACACACACACACAAACACACACACACCCACACACACACACTCACCCACACACAACCTTTCATCCCCCCCCCACACACACACAACCTTTCTTCCTCCCACACACACACAAACACGCGCACCTCTTCACATTAATTTTAAGTGCCTTTGAATGTTCTACTGCGTAAATAACATCGTAGTGTTCATGTAATAGACGACCCATCAAATATTTTCAGTTATGTTACACCCAACATTAGACGTTAAGGATCAACCGAACAATCAACTTCTCTGGGAAAGCAGTCAAATTTATATGCAAATTTTTACACACTAGTTATTTTTAATGTTGCACCGACACTAACGAAGCAATCTAACCTATGGAAATAAATGGTATAAAATACCGACACAATGGAAATATAAACACATATGCAGTATAATGTGATCCTTTATTGACAACGTTTCACCCACACAGTGGGCTTTTTCAAGTCACACACAGATCTACCTGGGGTGGAAGGTACGGGAGTATTTATAGTCATGTTCAGAATGTTGAGGTCAGGTGGAGAATGCTGCATCTGATGATCTACCGGGTAGAGTTATAGAGTCTTGAGTAGCTTGGCAGGGGTATTGGACAAGTTGTGAGTAGCCCTTCTGCAGTGTTCTATGTTCTTATGTGGGATAGCGATGAAGAAGTTTCTTGGCGAGTGGTTCAGCTATGTTATAGAAGCCGTTGTTCTGGTTGAAATTGTTGGTTATAGAGATAAGCGATGATTCCAGGATTCTTCGGTATTGAGTGTTGTAGATTGAGACACTTATGCAGCATATGGGAATCTTTATTCAGTGGTTTCATCAGTCCAATACAAAGAGGAAGGCGTAAGGAGAGGAGGAGTATGAGGTAATCAGTCCCTCAGCCTGGAGTCGATGTGTTCAGTCCATCAATCTTGTAGAATGTACAGCATAGGTATGTATGTATAATATTCGCCAGGACCAGGGTCCTGGCACGGGTCTTAATCTTGAGATGACCCGTCTCTGGCTCCTGAAGGAGAATTGATTCTTCACTGTTGCAGCATATAAACGTTTGGAATTTCACTATTCTTTCAAGCACTGTTCCGGACAGTTCAGCTAGTGTGCCTCATAAGCGACTGAAGTTACTCCATCTCAGCTGTTTCCTGAGCTGGGGACTGGGCTCTGTCCTTTCTGATAATCTGCGGATTCATTGCATCCACTGCTTCCTGCTCTGTCAGTAAGCACACCTTCAGAAGTGTGCTGACCATCTGCCGGAACATGCTCTGTTGTTCCGTGGAGGTGATTGTGTTGCAGATAATATCCGTGAATGCCTTGATGAGTGTTAAGAGATCCTCTCTGCTGAGGGCCTGCGTTGTCGGTGGGTTCGAAGCAGTGGACATTATCTGGGCTGTCGTAATCTGTGGGGACTGCTGAGGGTTGTATTTCTTCACTGTGCACACCGTGGGCAGTTGCTGTATGCCAGGTTGTGTACCCGGCATCTGCTGGTGAGGTGCAGCCACAGCCTGCATAGTGGTTGTGCCTGGCAAGGAGGCCGGTGGGGGCTCGTGTAGTGCCGTCTGCTGATTGCGTTGCTCAGATGTTTCCTGTTGGCGCCGCTTGTTCCTCATGTGTTTGTTTCTTCGTTGCAGTAGTGGGGGAGGATGCTCCTGTTCATGACGCCTGGTTGAGTTTTCAAGGGTCGGAAATTCCTGGGCACTGAGTTGGGTTGACTGATGAGAGTTCTGCAGTATGGAAGGATTCTCTGCACCCATCGTCTGCTGAGGGTGATGCTCTCCCGTAGCCTGCTGTCTCGTCGATGGTATCTTCCAGGCCTCACGAATTCTAGTGAGCCTCTCAGGGCATCGAGGGTTCCAGGCATGGTGTTTCTGCCTGCAATTCGGGCATCGTGGAGTGGGTGGCGATGCATTCTTCAGCTTGGTGATGCATTCCTCGGTAGGGTGGGGCTGGCTGCAGACACCGCATATTACTCTGTTCGGACAGAGTGCACCCACCCAGGTGTCCGTAACGCTGACACTTGAAACAGCGAACTGGTTCTGCCGTGAAGGTCCTGACATCGTACCTGCCCCAAGAACCAAGGTCCAGCTGGGATGGCAGCGGTCCTACATGCTGAATGAGGACCTGCCGGGTTGGTGCATTGCCTGCCGATTTTGCCTTGAGACACTGAGCTGACACGACACTGGGGTGAGCTGCTACTGCCTCGATGGCCATCATCAGCGGGTATCGCATCACTACACCCTTGGTGACCTGCCGAGAATCCAGTTCCTCCAGGGTGAAGGAGCGGTCTGTCTCCATGACTTTCTTCAAGGTGATATGCATTTCCCTGTTGATAGGAGTCAGTATTGGTTCTCCCCTCAGGATGAACCATATCTTGAACCTCAGTTTGTGCCGTGTTTCCAGGTGTGTAACCACGCCATAGTGGGTTTTGTGTTCCCATAAGCCTTTACCTTGAATCTGGAAGGTGATTTGAGCTGGTTTACCTGCTCCATGGAGGGACGGCGTGTCTTACTGTTCACATTGATCCATGCTTCCGTATTCTCTGGCTGCATGGTTAGGCTTGTCAGAACTGGAGACTTTTCCTCTGATGACTCGGAGTGGTCTCGCAACTTCTTCGCTAGGATTGCGCCCCACATTTCTAAATCCGAGTCGTCCATTTCTAAATCCGAGTCATCCGTCGTGTCCCTGGAACATCGTGACCTCTTCCTTTCGGCAGAAGCCATGTCTGTGCACGTGGTGCTGGACTGTGATGCTGAAGTGTGCTGTTCTCTACAGTGTGCACTGAAAGTGTGACCTGTACAGCATATGGCCGTAGACGTGGCTTATATACTGTAGTGAGGTGAGGTGAAGCAGGCGGAGGCGGGGTCATAGTGGTACCATCCACTAGTCGAAGTAGGTCTTCGTCCAAAGGTACCACTATGACCCTGCCTCCGCCTGCTTCACCTCACCTCACTACAGTATATAAGCCACGTCTACGGCCCTATGCTGTACATTCTACAAGATTGATGGAATGAACACATCGACTCCAGGCTGAGGGACTGATTACCTCATACTCCTCCTCTCCTTACGCCTTCCTCTTTGTATTAGACTGATGAAACCACTGTGTGGCGAAACGTTTCCTGAATAAAGATTCCCATATGCTGCACAAGTGTCTCAATCTTCAACTTGTCGGTTTTTCAAACCATTCATCACAACTGTCAGACACTGCAGCATCATGGGATCTTGTTACAAAGAATTCTTCAACACTTGTTCAACCTTTGGACGAAGACCTACTTCGACTAGTGGATGGTACCACTATGACCCCGCCTCCGCCTGCTTCACCTCACCTCGCTACAGTATATAAGCCACGTCTACGGCCCTATGCTGTACATTCTACAACATTGATGGACTGAACACATCGACTCCAGGCTGAGGGACTGATTACCTCATACTCCTCCTCTCCTTACGCCTTCCTCTTTGTATTGGACTGATGAAGCCACTGTGTGGCGAAACGTTTCCTGAATAAAGATTCCCATATGCTGCACAAGTGTCTCAATCTTCAACTTGTCGGTTTTTCAAACCATTCATCACACAAGGGATTATGTATACCCCTGCAAAGGATGGAGGCTTGTCCTGTCTACTACTGGTGATGTCCTTGATGGTCGTGGTTGTGGAGGTGGATACTTGGAATGAGGTATTGGAAAAGATGTTGGAAACATGTTTGACAATGGAGTTGGTGGGGAGGACTATGTATCTCTTCTCGGCAGTGTCTTCTCTGGGTGTGTTGAAGATGTTTAATGCCCGCCGTCTGCAGTCTCTGATGAAGTGACGAGGATAGTGGAGTTTAGAAAATACTTGTTCAATTATAGTGCATTCTTCCTCAAGGAACTCATTGCTGCAGATTCTGAGTGCACGCAGGAAGGAGCCTATAATTACACCACGTTTGGTTTTGGTGTCGTGGTAAGAGTAGAAGTGGAGAAGATCGTTTTGGTTGGTGGGTTTTCGATAGACTTTAAAACGAAGTTCGTGGTCAGCTTTACAGAGCAGAACATCAAGGAAAGGAAGAGTGTTGTCGACTTCTTCTTCAAGTGTGAACTGGATTGAAGGCTCGACCTGGTTGAGCTTGTCTTGGAGAGCTTGAACGTTGAAGCGTTTAGGAGTTATGAGGAGAATGTCGTCAACATAACGGAGCCAGGTGACAGACGAAGGAATAATGGTGGAGAAACGTTCGGCTTCTAGATGTTCCATGTATAGGTTCGCCAGGACCGCACTGAGTGGCGAACCCATGGGTAGTCCAAAAGTCTGCTGAAAGAGGTGATTTTCGAAAGAGAAACACGTAAAGCCAACACATATTTCAACAAGGTCGATGAAATCGCTGGCTGGAATGGGAAGATCAAGTAAATCGTCAATTTTCCTGCGCAAGAGATCGATGGCTTGTGTAGTAGGTACTTTGGTGAATAGGGAAGTCACGTCAAGGCTGGAAAGTTTCTTGTTCCTGATGTTGATGTTGCGAATGCGACTGAGAAGATCACCCGAGTGTTTGAGATGTGCTGGACTGATAGTGCCCAAGAGTTTAGAGAGGTGTTTTGCGAGAATTCCTGAGAGCTGGTGGGGAGCACTGCCTATTCCCGAGGATATGGGCCTCAGTGGGATACCAGGCTTGTGAGTTTTTGGCAGGCCGTACATTCTGGCAGGTCTGGGGTTGCTGGGCATGTGTGGTAGAAGTTTCTTCCCTTGTTCTGAGCCCCTCAGAATGCGGCGAGTCCTTCGAAGAAAAGTTTTAGTAAGGTTGTCCACTTGGTTAGTTGTGAGAGGTTTGTAGGTATCTGGGTCATTAAGTAGATTGAGCATTTTGTTCCTGTAATCGTCAGTGTTCATGATAACAACACCACCTCCTTTATCAGCGGTGGTGACCCTGATGGTCGTGTCTTCTGCTAAACCTTTGAGTGCATTGATGTAACGTCGAGGTATGACTGGGGAGCTGCGTGTTGAGATGGCTGCTGAGATGATGCATTGAAGATAGCCTTTTTGGAAGTCGGAGTCATTGTGTCTGTAGTTTTTGGCGATGAAATTGAGGTCTTGTTTTGGTTTCTTAATTCCTGTTGCGAATTTGAGGCCTAAGCTGAGGGCTTCAGTTTCTGTGGTTGACAGTGGACGAGATGAAAGATTTTGAATAATTTCAGGTATTCCTAAACGTTGTCAATAAAGGATCACATTATACTGCATATGTGTTTATATTTCCAATCTAACCTATCCTTTCTAAAAACTTACGTAACATAAAATTCAAGATACTAAAGCTAAGAAGTTGGGGAGTCGATTTTTCAGTTGACTCGACTTTTGCAATACATAACAGAACCAACATCTGAATATTGTAATATATAGCTTGATCTCATGATGATTGAGTTTGTTTCTCTCCTTGGGTGTGACAGTGTCGAGGGATCAACGACGCGGCGTGTAGACTAGCGAAAGAAGTGGCCGAGGAGGGTGACGCTCTAGTGGCCGGTGGACTCTCCCAGACACCTACATATCTCTCTGGTCAGTGATCAAGATTCACACTTTACCTGCCTATGTTAGCACGCTGTCTGGTTGGTTGGCTGGCTCTCTGGCTAGCTGGCTGGCTAACTGGTTGGCTGGCTGTCTAGCTGACTGGTTGACTGGTTCTCTGGTTAGCTGGCTGGCTTTCTGGCTGGTTAGCTGGTTGGCTCTCTGGCTGGCATGCGTGTGCCTGTGCGTATGTATCATAATGTTAATGGTACTCAATACCAACAAGTAGATGTATAAGACACATGTGCATCAACCGGGTATCAATGATGTCTACGAGTTATCTCATCTGCTTTGCCAGTGTTTATGTGTTTAATCAACCTTTCTCTATGTTTCTTTTTCAAATATTTTTTTTGCAATAACACTTGTCAACGAAAGAGGCCCATAGTTTGAACTTCTTCCCTATTACCTGTTCTAAATGTTGATGCCATATGTGCCATCTTCCATTTGTCTGCCATATTACCTTAGTGTAATAAAATCTTAAAAATAAATTCTGAAGTGGATAGCATAATTTTTTTCTGTATGTTCCTTTAAAACCTGTTGTCTTATTCTCTTTAGTCCCATTACTTGTTTTTCTTGTCAGTATTTCTTGCCTTCATTTATTTCATTAATTACAGCTGCCTGGGATTAAAATTCACTATATTTAAAATATCTTCTTTCATAAACACTTTCTTAAACTCCCTATTTAATGCTTCTCTCATTTCCTCAACGATTTAAGTGTTTTTTTTTTTTAACATTTAGCTTACTTTTACCAATTTCAATAAAAAATTTCGTTCTGCCTTGCTTTTGTTTACTATTTCCTTCCCATATTTCTTTCTTCCTCTCTCCTTGCATTTATATACTCATTTCCATCTTCTTTGAATCTCTGATATGTTTCTTGAGTGACTCGCTTCCTACATTGATTCCAAGACCTTCCGTTAAACCATTTTTTAATACTCTGATTTATATTCCTTATTTGGAATAAACTATGTAATTCAATTTTAATATATTTTACAGAATCCATTGTACAAATTACTTTTGTCTGTCCTTCGCAATATATTGTTACATTTAGCTTCTTGGAAGCACTCTTCTAAATCATTATATTCTCCTTTCTTTTAGTCTAGTCATTCCTGCTTATGCATTTCTTTTCCAAATTCTAAGTAATAATTAACATTATAAATAATTTACAACAGAACATGATCACTCTTTCCAAGTGGATTTAACTGGTTTATTCTGAAAATTTCATCCCCTACCTACCTGTAGTCTACCTGGAGGGTATTCCGGGGGTCAACGCCCCCGCGGCCAGATCCATGACTGTTCTAGGTCTAGTATTAAGGGCGCGTTGCATTCTTTCACTCTTGTCTCTTACTTTACATGTTGATGCATAATATGTTAAGGATGTCTATTGACTTTAATTACAGGTCTAGACTCGTAGGCTGCCCTATTAATTTTTTTAGATTTAAAATCCCCAATCACAATAATTTTCGTTTTCAGTCACTTTTCATCACTACTTTAGCTAATGTACGATGTAATTTATTTTTTAAATTATCAAACATCTCGTTCTGGTTGTTTGAATGAAGCAGTGAGAGTTCCGACTGCTACCCACTCCCTGGTGTGGTGACTACTACCCACTCCGTGGTGTGGTGACTACTACCCACTCCCTGGTGTGGTGACTACTACCAACTCCCTGGTGTGGTGACTACTACCCACTCCCTGGTGTGGTGACTACTACCCACTCCCTGGTGTGGTGACTACTACCCACTCCCTGGTGTGGTGACTACTACCAACTCCCTGGTGTGGTGACTACTACCCACTCCCTGGTGTGGTGACTACTACCCATCCCTGGTGTGGTGACTACTAACCCACTCCCTGGTGTGGTGACTACTACCCACTCCCTGTGTGGTGACTACTTACCCACTCCTGGTGTGGTGACTACTACCCACTCCCTGGTGTGGTGACCACTACCACTCCCTGGTGTGGTGACTACTACCCACTCCCTGGTGTGGTGACTACTACCTTTTCCCTGGTGTGGTGACTACTACCCACTCCGTGGTGTGGTGACTACTACCCACTCCCTGGTGTGGTGACTACTACCCACTCCCTGGTGTGGTGACTACAACCCACTCCCTGGTGTGGTGACTACTACCTTTTCCCTGGTATGGTGACTACTACCCACTCCGTGGTGTGGTGACTACTACCCACTCCCTGGTGTGGTGACTACTACCCATCCGTGGTGTGGTGACTACTACCCACTCCTGGTGTGGTGACTACTACCCACTCCCTGGTGTGGTGACTACTACCCACTCCCTGGTGTGGTGACTACTACCTTTTCCCTGGTGTGGTGACTACTACCCACTCCGTGGTGTGGTGACTACTACCCACTCCCTGGTGTGGTGACTACTACCCACTCCCTGGTGTGGTGACTACTACCCACTCCCTGGTGTGGTGACTACTACCTTTTCCCTGGTGTGGTGACTACTACCCACTCCGTGGTGTGGTGACTACTACCCACTCCCTGGTGTGGTGACTACTACCCACTCCCTGGTGTGGTGACTACTACCCACTCCCTGGTGTGGTGACTACTACCCACTCCCTGGTGTGGTGACTACTACTCACTCCATGGTGTGGTGACTACTATCCACTCCCTGGTGTGGTGACTACTACCCACTCCCTGGTGTGGTGACTCCTACCCACTCCCTGCTGTGGTGACTACTACTCACTCCCTGCTGTGGTGACTACTACCCACTCCCTGGTGTGACGACTACTACCCACTCCCTGGTGTGGTGACTACTAAGCACTCCCTGGTGTGATGACTACTACCCACTCCCTGGTGTGGTGACTGCTACCCACTCCCTGGTGTGGTGACTAGTACCCACTCCCTGGTGTGGTGACTACTACCCACTCCCTGGTGTGGTGACTACTACCCACTCCCTGGTGTGGTGACTACTAAGCACTCCCTGGTGTGATGACTACTACCCACTCCCTGGTGTGGTGACTACTACCCACTCCCTGGTGTGATTACTACCCACTCCATGGTGTGATGACTACTACCCACTCCCTGGTATGATGACTACTACCCACTCCTTGGTGTGATGACTACTACCCACTCCCTGGTGTGATGACTACTACCCCTCACTGGTGTGGTGACTACTACCCACTCCCTGGTACGATGACTACTACCCACTCCCTGGTATGATTACTACCTAACTGTTGCATATGTGTCTTACCTAACAACCTGTCGGTATTTTATACCATTTTAAGTTCTACATTATTTAACTTATAAGTGCTAGGGTTATGGATACTCCCGAGCTTCAGAACCTTGCATTTATCTACATTGAACTGCATCTGCCACTTTTCTGACCAAGAGTAGAGTTTGTCTAAATCCTCCTGAAGTTCCCTAACATCTACGTTTGAATCAATTATTCTACCTATCTTCGTGTCATCGGCGAATTTGCTCATATCACTAGTAATTCCTTCATCAAGATCATTGATATATATTATAAACAACAACGGGCCCAAGACTGATCCCTGTGGAACGCCACTTGTTACTGATCCCCACTCGGATTTAACCCCATTTATGGACACTCTCTGCTTTTTGTCTGTGAGCCATGATTCGATCCACGAGAGCACCCTTCCCCCAATGCCATGAGCTGCTACTTTCTTCAACAGTCTTTGGTGCGGAACTCTATCAAATGCCTTACTAAAATTTAAGTAAATAATATCAAATTCTTTATCGTGGTCAACAGCCTCAAAAGCTTTACTGAAGAAAGTTAATAAATTAGTTAGACAAGACCGGCCTCTTGTGAATCCATGCTGAGTATCATTAATTAAGCTATGCTTATCGAGATGGCTTCTTATAATCTCAGCTATAATTGACTCTAGTAATTTGCCTACAATTGAGGTCAGGCTTATTGGGCGGTAATTTGACGGTAACGACTTGCTCCCCTGTTTTAAAATAGGAATTACATTAGCCATCTTCCACATATCAGACACTACACCTGTTTGAAGAGATAAATTAAAAATATTAGTTAATGGTTCACAGACTTCCATTTTGCATTCCTTTAGAACCCTTGAAAAAACCTCATCAGGACCCGGTGAGTTATTTTGCTTCAGTCGGTCTATCTGCTTCACAACCATTTCACTAGTGACTGTGATGTTACATAATTTATCTTCTTCTGGCCCAATATAAAAATTAATTACCGGAATATTATTAGTGTCTTCCTGTGTAAAAACCGAGAGAAAATAATTATTTAAAATCGAGCACATTTCATTCTCTTTGTCAGTAAGGTGCCCATAGTTATTTTTAAGGGGACCTATCTTATCTCTGACTTTTGTTCTATACACCTGGAAAAAACTTTTTGGGTTAGTTTTAGAATCCCTAGCAACTTTAATTTCATAGTCCCTTTTAGCTTTTCTTATCCCCTTTTTAATGTCCCTCTTAATGTCAATATACTGATTCATAAGATGACCCTCGCCTCTTTTGATACGCCTGAAAATTCCTTTCTTATGCCCTAGTAGATATTTCAGCCTATTATTCATCCATTTTGGGTCATTTCTATTTGATCTAATTTCTTTATAAGGGATAAACGTTCTTTGAGCAGCATGCATTGTGTTCAGAAAACTGTCATATTGATAGCTCTCTTCGTTACCCCAGTCAACAGATGATAAGTGTTCTCTAAGCCCATCGTAATCTGCTAAGCGAAAATCTGGGACTGTTACTGAGTTATCCCTACTATCATACTTCCATTCAATTCTAAATGTAATTGATTTGTGGTCGCTAGCACCCAGTTCCTCTGAAACTTCTGAATTATTAACAAGGGATTCATTGTTTGCCAGAACTAAGTCAAGCAGGTTATTTCCCCTTGTAGGTTCTGTCACAAACTGCTTCAAAAAGCAATCCTGAACTACTTCTAAGAAGTCGTATGATTCTAAATTCCCAGTCAAGAAATTCCAATCAATATGACTGAAGTTAAAGTCTCCTAGAATTACTACATTATCGTGCCTTGTGGCCCTAA